AAAAAGAGAGAGTGCAAATGGATTAATTATTAAGGAATTTTGGGTATGTTTGATTAAAGTGGATGTTTGGTGAGATACATCGAACTGGTGACGAATGTTAGATACCAGTTAGGTTTAATAATATATATATATATATATAAACTCACACACACAATTGTGTGCGGCTTTTCTTGCATGAAAAGGTTTTGCTGGTGTGTGCGCGCGTTTTAACTGAAAACTGATATAACTAGTTATCTACCCTTCTTGCTCTCTCAAATGTTGGACTTCTTGCTTCAAAAAACTGTTGATCTAATCGTTCGGCTTCTTGTACTATTTGATCCCAAACATACACATATGTGCTCATAGGCATAATTAATAGGGAAAATGAAACTTATGCTCTAAAAATTAATTTGATGATAGTTATATCTTAAAATTTTTTTTGCTGAAAAGTAAGTTGTAAATATTGATTCAAGTCTAAAACCCTTATATTTAGAAGTGTTTGAGATTATATTTACAATTTATTTTTCAGTAAAATTTGTTGTGATCGAACTATACTGAATTAGTTGGGATCTAATTGTAAATCCATCTAATTAATATATAGCAAAAAGTGAAAATCATAGCATTGTTGAGAACTACATTACATGATAATTTTTTTTAAAATTTAACCATCATAGATTAATTACAATTGCAAGGTAACTCGGTAATTAATTGGAGATTTTAAATTTGACAATGTTAATCCTAGTATATTAACTATGATATTGCAACCAAGAGTCAACATAAATTGCCAAAGAAACATATATTTGGTAAGGTAGTTTTATTGAACGACTAACTATCTCTAAGGGGGAAAATGTGATCTTTGTAATTTATTCTATTTTTTATGAACAATAATTTAAATAAATACAAATTTAAAGTATTTTACCTTTTTAAATATTTCATTTCATTTGTAGAAGTATCCGTATTTCTCTCTCTTCAATAAAATGCTTCTGGCATTATTTTTCTATGAATTTATTTAATTCAAAATGTTTTTTAAAATAAATAACATGAGAGAAAGTCCCCTAACAATTTCACCATATAGGGTCCCCTCCTGTTATAGCCTATTTGGTTTTTCTCCAGTAATTTCCAACCAAGTGCCTTAAATTATTGTTGTACCTAACAGGGAACACATGCCTTGATTTAGTTTTTTTTGCCCTTTTTGCCAGAATATATTTTAATGCTATGATACATATTGAGGTACGAAAATATTAAAATGCTCATCGAATAGAATATGTTCATTGCATTGCATCCAATAGGTACAAAGTTGATATAAATTCAGTGTAAAGGAGTGTCACGTGGTACAATAATGGAGATTTGATACACGTAGCCCTAGTAAATGTTCTAGATGATCCGTTACGTATTGTGCTGGATTCACATATTACAAATCCATGGTTATTTTGGGCTTGTGCTCATGGGCTCATTCTTTGTGTCAATAGTACTTTGTATATCGAAAATTTACCAACCAAAGATTAATTTAGTCAATAAGAATTTAGCACATCTACCAAATTATTGTGGAGGCAAATCCTGCTGCCAAGAAAGAAGGAATCATAATAGCATGAATCATAGTCAAGATGTTGGTTTGATGAATCCCCAAACCCAACAATTGGACCCTCCACCCAACGAAATGTGCTAAGAAATGGAAACAAAGATGCCCCAACTTTGTGTTCACCATTTTAACTTTTCTCTCTGAGTATCGTCCCTGAACTCTAACATCTCTGTGAAAGGCATTATTGATTAAAGCCAACAATATGGGCTAGACTTATTCAGATCAGGCTTGAAGTATTCTGTCTTCTTAAAAGAGTTTATATAACTAAGTCCGGCCTTCACTTTTTTCAAGCTAGCTCATTGAACTTGGCGAAAATTACTAATCTATATACACATGGAGTTATAAATTCTAGTGGTTTGGCTCAATTTAGGCCGGATTTAAAATGTTCTATCATCTTAAAAAAGTCTATATAGTTAAGATTGATCCTAATTTTTTTTAAGTGAATTTAGGTTGCCCATCAGACTTGGCCTGAATGCCAAGACTCTATTATTGACACATATATGAGTCATAAACCAAGAAAGATAGACAATAGCTTCACTGTCACTTTATGGAATGACAAGTTGTCACGGCCGTGGCTCCCTTTAGACTATTAAAGCCATCGTCTAAGGCATCACATGAATTATAGATCTCATTTAAGTTATAGTATTGAATTTCACTTTAGAAAGCATGTAATAGGATAAAATTTAAAGATAAATTATAGAAAAATGACTTTATTTTTTCACAAGATGGCTATTAAAATATACAGGATATAAATTAAATAAAAAGTGAATGACGAATATCTAAAGATATTTTAATGACAATTTTAGTTATAAAATCACACGTTTCAAGAATTTTTTGGTAGTGATGGTATCAGTAAGAATCTCTATAATTCAAATAATTTTTTAATTTTAAAATTGTATAAATTCTATCAAAGGTTGTAATATAAATTGCATGAATTAAGTTATTTATTATTAAAAATAAAATATTAGAATTATTTTATCATAAAATGGATAAATAATTTGCAATTCACAAACATAAAAAATAGTATAAGAATTTATGAATTACATTACATGATACCAGGCTCTATATAATTTAATCTTAGGTCTCAAAGACCACAGTCGTGCAAGTTGTTAAAATCCAAAAAATTACGGACAATCGCTAATCCTGAACTTCTCTCTATAATACTGCCACCAATGTTTATATTCTTTAACCCTTAGCAACCAATTATGCCAATGGGAAAGCTTGTGCAGGACACTTGAAGAGCAAATTTGAGCCAAATTTTCACAACCAAAAAATGTATCTCTTTAATATTTGGGGCCAGTGAGAGATCTGGGAGTCAAATGAGGTATTTTGAGAAACTTAGATTGATTGACTGCAAATTAGGGAAACGCTGGGAGAAAAAAAAAGAAGGGTTTATAGTTAGATATCTAAACAATATTTATCATAAATTTCTCATCTTGTTAAGGAAATAAGTGAATGCATTTACATAGATGAGTTTATGTTTTCAATTCTTTGCTGTGCAAGAATGAGAATATGAGATATCTTTAGACTTAGGTGAAAAATACATACCAAATCTCCATTTCAAAGCTATCGAATAGGTGGGATTGGCTCGATTGGAATATGAAACATCAAGGAGGGAATTCTTTTACTAAGAAGGTCCTTGGGATATTTTGTTTGCTATATCTATTGGGATATATGAAGGAGTCATTGCAATTGAGCTTTCTAGGCTTGAGAGGATTGGATAATGGAGGAACAATCTACATCTTTCTTTAGAGTTGTAGCTGATCAAGATCTAGAAATAACCTACCCCAACTCCCCATAAGTGATTGTCATGGTGCTCTACATCAACATTTTGTTGGAGGAAGTTTGACTTGAAGTTGATGGGTCTACTCTTACAATAGTCGCAGTTCATGTGGTGGAGTTTTGAAGGATAAAAACAATGCCTAGATTCAAGGTTTTAATTAAAATTAGGACATGTTTCCCCTGCTATTGCTAAATTGTTTGATATTTTAAGGGTCTTGAATTATGTTGGCAAAAGGGTACAAGATTGTGGAGGTTTTTTGTAATTATGCACTGGCAATCTAAACAATCACAAAAAACAATCATAATTTATCACCCCTTTCAAATTATGATCAATTTCATAAATTTTAGTTTTTATAAGATAGCTGACTATCTTGCTAAGTTAGCACAGAGATTATCCAATGACTTTAACACTTTTAATACCCCACCATTTGTTGATTAAGGGTGGTTGGTTTGTTTTCTTGTTGTTTGTTTTGTCTTCTATATTGTTTTCACATTCTGTTGATTGAGTATTTCATGTTCATATTCAAAAAAAAAAAAAGATGACTATTAGGCATATGAAGTTCTACAAGATTCTCTACACAAAAGCTTAATGGCACAGATGGCAAAGAGTATTCTTCCCAACAGAAAAACCTCAATTTCTTCAGGGAGATAATCTAGATCTTCACAAATATTAACTGTTGAAGGCTTGCTCTAATCAGATTTGTAAAAGTTAAGGAATGTAAATTGTACATCTTTTGAAAATTACTAGTTGCCAATATAATCCTAAGATATGCATCGAGTTGCCTCAGTCTCCTAGAAAGTAAAAGAAGAAGAAAAAAAATTATTTTTATTATTATATTATGATTATTACTATAATTATTGTAAAAATAATCAAAACACTACAATAATTTTTCTTATATTGATTTAGGGAAAACTAAATGAGTAATGATGTTGTGCACTTCAAATATTCCTTATATGTACATATAAGGAATTTTTAAATAAAAACTAAAAAATAAATGCGTACATTTATTTGTACATATATATATACATGAAGAATTCATCTAGTCTGTATTCTTATTAGTGATCAATAACTTTCTTTTTGTCAACTTAGTGATCAATAACTAAGTTCATTAAAACATGTATGTGCATGTATTCATTTTTTGTACTTCTTATGATACTATATATTAAGTTCTTTATCATGTACGAGCACATATTTGCACATACTACATCAATTCAAATGCATACTAGGATAAAATAATGATAAAAAAAATTAAATATAATACCTTTTTTTTTGCCACAATTAAATATAAGCCTTGTTATTGATGAAAAGAGCGTAAACATCCTCTTGCTCTCCCATAGTCGATCAAGTCTTCTAGGGTTTGATACTAGTTGT